TATGACAAACATTGAACAAGAGAGCAGAACTGGATTAAGTAACTGTAGTCTCTGATTTAATTCTACACTGCGAATTTGAAGAGCCATGAGACTCACATCAGATGTGTAAGTAATCACTTGGTTTGGGCCAAAGAAACCTCGAACTACATGAGATCATATCGATAAAGCTTAAGAGGTCAAAAGGCTATAATACTAAATAAATCATGAACTTCTAACTCTTGAATGAATTCAGGACCACTTACTTAAGATAAAAAAACTGCAAAACATTTGATTTGAGGCGAAAGTGAAAAGAGAATGGTTAAAAAAAAGGGAAAGAAGAAAGTCTGGGTTTGGACATTGGACTTGTAAAACTGATTTTCAGAATGCACCTTAAAATGGCCGATAGGCCGTGGCTCCAGGTTGTAAAATACGATGAATATTATTGCCAAATGCTTGGTAGAAGTCGAAAATGGATTTAAATTAATTAAAATTAAGAGATTTCGAGTTGTTTGGATCATTTGTGTTATCAATCTGCGTTTGTTTACACGACCCACATACGGCAGGGGCACGCAGATCGATAATGGAAATCGTTCAAAAGAGAGATAATATTCTCCGCGCGCAGAAAAATCGATATATCGAAAACGGGGCGCGCGGAATTATTTTCTGGTGCAGCGCCGGAAAAAACAGTCGGCGAGCAGGAATCGATATATCGAAAATTCCGCGCGCGGAACAGATTTGGAGCGCTGCGCCGGAAAAAATAGTTTTGACACAAACGGCGCAAATATATCGAAAACCGGTGCGGAATCCGGAAGTGCAGAGATTTTCATCGAAAACGGGTTTTTTCTTTCCGCGCGCCGAAAAAAAATTCCGCGCGCCAGAAAAAATTCCGCGCGCGCAAGAAAAGGGTTTTGACACTAACGGCGTTCCATAGTGTTTGCATTTCGGGCATCTTGGAATTTTTTGATGACTTGATGACGTAGGTGGGTACAGTGTGAAGGGGACGTCCCTGTACCCAGCTGTACCCACCTACGTCATCAAGTCATCAAAATACTCCAAGATGCCCGAAATGCAAACACCTCCTTTTTTTTCTCTATGGCGACCACCATTCTTTATCCGCCTTGCGCCATACAGGTATAGGTATTCTAAGAAAATCAACTTGTTTTCAATTTCAAGTTAAAAAAATTGTTAATTCCACAATTCGAAGTGCAGTGTGCTCAAAAATCCTACGAATTTCCCAACATATGTCAGTGTTTGTGTTACGTCACTCCGTTCCCAAAATTCAGATGGCAACTTCTAAAGCCCTACCTTTCGTCGCCATTTGGTGAGCTTTGTTTGTATTTGATTTTTATTTGAGGTTAGATGACTACTCCGCAGTGACCGTTAAACCCTTTATCACCTATTAAATCCGCTCGTTTTATATCAGGCTCTCTGTCAAGTGGAGCATTTTCCTCATTCTGAATATGATTAGAGAAAACATGCCTGGTTTTCCATCATGTTCATATTTGTCACTCCAGCAGTGAACTATCCAGTGCATGAGCAATCTGATGGGAATATAACCTTGATTCATCCTCAGGTTTTGGATTGCCGTAAACCGAATCATTCATCCAATTCAATGAAATGTACGCATCCAGTGAAATTGAACATCACAAGCCACAAGTGATTCAGTCGTGTTTAGGGTTTTTTTATCCGTGGAATGCGATGGTAGCGGTTTGGGCTGGTTCAACCAGCCTGAATCAACCTCAACCTACCTCGGAAGAGTGATCCGAGTGTTCCACAGGAACACATGGAATGGGATAAAAAATTGATGCATTCCATTGTGGTCCACTCTGGTTCATATAAAACAAATGCCCTTTTGACCAACTTGATTTCGAAGCAGGTGCCAGTATGTACTTAGCGAGGAGAAACTGTGAAATTAACAAATTTTGTTCATTATCCAGAGGTTTCGTCAGATAAGCTGTTGTTTGTTTACTTTTGATTTGTTGGTGCAGGCAACAAACTTACGTCTCTCTACGAAGTGTCGCTTGCTATTATCCACCTTCAAAATATCCGTCTCATGATTTTGTGGTAGGGCTTTTTTTTTATCCGAACCACAGTGGACCGCCACAGAAAGCACCACTTTTTTATCCCGTTCCATTGGCGCGTTCCATGTGTTCTAGTGGAATGCTTGGACCACTCCTCTGAGGTAGGTTGAGGTTGGTTCAGGCTGGTTGAACCAGCCCGAACCGCTACCATAGCGTTCCATGCGTTCCACCGAAGACTTATAGATGGAGTGCTCGTATCTAAAAGCACGGGGAAAAAGTGAAGCCTGGTTTGGCGCTGGGTGCTTGTGTGAGTGTGTAAATGAGCGCGGGAATCCAACGCAAACGGAAATTTGATTTGAACTTGTCCTCTTGATTTTTCCACATTTCTTCTTCGAAACGTATTTTAAATGCCTAAAACGAATATATTAAGAAAGTTGGGACTGCGTCCTAATTTACTTTTGCTCGGTAACAGGCAGTAATCTCAGATAAAGTTAGTTTATCTTCTGTTCATGGTGATTCTGCCGGTTCAAACAGGCCGTTACAGTCGTAGATGACAGTTACTCCCAAATGAAATTAATCGGTCGACGACGGACCAAAACTAACGGAAAGTTATACAAATATGAGTGTGTAAGTGAATTTGGGCAAAAATCAACCTAAAATACTTTGTTTCCGCAATTTTATTTAGTTCCCGCCCTACATTTGAATTTCAAACTTGTCCCGATTTCGCCGCCAATCCTATAGATCGTATTCGATACATCAAACGGGTGAGATTGTATCGATATCGATTGGTTCAAAACATAAACATGGCGTCAAAAGTAAATTCAGAAATCTGAGAGAGCGGATCTTTTGAAACAGATTTTTTATTCTTTTGAGTACCAAATGCCAATGCAAAGTGAAATTGTCAGGAAATTTCTCATTTTCAGCTTTCCCAATTAAAATCCTTTAAGTTTGGTTTGAGGTTATGTTCTATTGTTTTGAACCAAACGATACATCGAACCGTTATCGAATACGGTCTATAGCCAATAGTAGAGGTGATTGAAGAGAAGCTTCATTTTTTGTTTTTAGCACTCCGTCTTTATGTATTTGCGTTCCACGGCAAAAAAAAGCCCTTGTGTAAGAACTACTTATCAGGTATGATCCGCGACTTTTATGTGGCTGTGATTTCTTATCAGTACAAATTTAAGTATTACGCGGTTTGGATGTATTAGAAAACCTAACCAAGCTTGTGTTCTAGCACTCTAGTAGCTGCAAGAGTTGGATATTTTCTTCATGTGGATGGTAGTGATGCGAAAACACTTGGGCGAAACTTCACAATCCGATTCGCACCGTGAAAAAGACAGTTTGGCCAACCTACACATAACAAAATTACACTTGATCGGCTGTGTCGCGTTGTTACCAATTCGACGATTTAAATTGATTTTTCGCACATTATTGCCAAATATCATTGATTTTCGCTTATTTTAATAGTAATTTTTTCTTTTTCCACTTTTTTATTTTTCAGGATCGTTTTTCAGTTCTTACGATAACCTAATGTAACCTAACCTAACCACCTAAGGGATGTCTTACGTGATGTAACGTATCCTTGAGACCCATTAGTCAGGTCGTGAAGCTATCTAACTGATGTCCTGATACGTTACGTTACGTCTTTCAGGCTTGTGGGGTAGGATATCTCAAGTCTTTGTGGGTGAGGTGAGTAGGAAAAAAAGGCATTGAATATAAGTACAAATTAACGAATCAATGTGTACATATTAATAAGCGTACATATTTGATCAGCTATTTTTGAATGGGCCTGTTGCATGCAAGAGATACAGCCGTGCTAGTAGACTTTTTAGAGGTTAAATGACACGAAAATTACGATGGTCGCATTAAAAAAGTGTGAAATACACTCCTTACTGCGCAATTTGTTTTGTTAGGAACGCGCTTTTTCAAATTTCCCGCGTCTGGGGGCAGTTTTCTGACGGAAACAATTAACGGCAACTCGCGGCTATTTCCGGTCAACCAAAACTGACAACATAACCTAAAAATCGGAGCTCGTGACATCGTGAAATGAAATGTAGAAGGATTGCGTTGGATATTTAAAAGTTGATCGATTTGGTTACCGCATAAAGCGTATATGGACCACTATAGGAGATCACGTTGGGTTTGTAAACAAACTGAAGGAAAAATATCAACAACAAGAACGACTCGATATCTTCCGGAAATCACCGAGCCCGCCGTTTGCTCGTTTCCGGTGATTAGAAAACTGCCCCGAGACGCGCGAAATTTGAAAAAGCGCGTTCCTAACAACGCAAATTGCGCAGTAAGGAGTTTATTTCAGACTTTTTCAATGTGACCATCGTAATTTTCGTGTCATTTAACCTCTAAAAAGTCTATTCGCGCGGCTGTATCTCTTGCATGCAACAGGCCCATTATGCGGGATATTCTCCCGGCAACGGCCATTTTAGCACAATTCTTACTTAAATGGTAGACCTGGGGAGTGTTCTCAGCTGAGAAGTTAGTTTTGCGATTGAAACTCGGGAGGAGTTAGTTTCTGAAGTCCTGCGAAAACCTGCATAGCGAAAGTAAACAAATGCTAACTTATCTGACACCACCTCTAACAAGCTGAGTTGAAAACTGTAAGTCCCGAATTCCACCATACGCATACTAATATAGAAGTCACTGGATTTTGCGTACACGTAAGTCAGCATGAATGAAACGTGTGTGTGGCTTAGTTAGCAAAGTAATATGAGCTCAAACTTAAGTTTTTATGTAGTCTACCTACTTGACAACCTCACCAGTACTCTTGAATCACAAGCTTCCATTAGTCCTATATGTGTGAAAACAATGATCTTGCATCCTTCATTTCATCCACAGAAGAACTGGGGAGTAAATGACAAGAGGTGTAGCCAGATAAGTTAACCATTGTTTACTTTCAGTTGGCAAGCGTTTTCGCGTTACTACTGTCCACATGGAAACTTTGGACTCTCGCAGAAGCAAGAATACAAGCACAGATAAGTTTTTTAATACTTTCAAACCTTGTAACACTTAAATTTTTAGCCACACAGAAATCACAACCATGTAAAAGCCGCGAACCATGACTGATAAATGATTTTTTTACGATATATTTATGAGACAGATGTTTTCAAGGTAGATAGTAGCAAACGCCGCTGTGTGTAGAGGCCAAAATTCGTCATCAGCGTTTGCAAACCTAATATGAACGATGGTCAACTTAGCTGACGACCCCCTCTACATTGATACCTTCTCATTCCTTTGGATGACCAAACTGTGTGACTATAAATTTCTTTACACATTTTTCATGTTTTGTCCTATTATTTGTCCTGCAGCAGTGGTAAATGGTGTGAAGAGTGCACTCTAGTGTCATCTGGGTCATGTCCATGACAGCATTTTAATACAGTGTAAGATTTTGCAGGATACTAAGCTGGGCTCTTTAGCTATGATTGATCTGCTGATGAGATCATCCATGATGTAACTAAACCGTAAATGAAAGAACGAAAGGAAATGATAATAAAATGAAAACTAAAGGGTAAGGAAGATGAACGTGTATTCGTGAAGGTTACATGATTCCCGAGTCAGGGTTTACCCCCTAACAAGGGCTATAGTCCCTATGCTGTTGACATGGCTACCAACTTAGAATACAACAGTTCTCCGCATGCGTTTGAAAAATTATTTTGGTTGAGAATATAACATAGAAAAAAAACCACTTTGGTTGGAAATGAGCAGTAGATCTCCGCATGCATTAAAAAATTTACAATTGTATTTAGGAACAGTACTCTGTAGTAATGACACTCTCTTAATTCAAAGGCATGCGTTGAAAAATTTACAATTTCATTAAGGAACAATACTTACTCGGTAGTAATGACACTCTCTTAATTCAAATATTTATCTTATCGTGACTAGATTGTAATTTTAAAAATATCACAGATGTATGGAGATTACTTACGCGGTTAGGAAAAAAAATAGAAACAAAAATTTTAGCGAGAAAGTGTTGCATGGAATTTGAAATTCTTGTCAGATAGGTAGCAAAATCCAAGATGGATGTTGTCAGAATTTTACGCAAATAATAATTCGAATGTCAGAGAAAATTGAAAAATCTGAATAAGATTAAAGAATATGGTTCTTGTAGGATACTTCAAGCTGGTTCCTTGTTATATCTGTCGGGCAGTCTTCTGTTTTTGGGAGGCTTTTGGGTTGATAGCCCAACTGACTGAGATGCCGAGGTTGGTGGTTTGTTTTCTTCCAAAGTGAGATCGATAACAATGGTGGGTGAGGTAGGCAGCGTCGATCAGATCCGAGGTGAACTTGTGTCTGATACTGCTGGTGAGGAGATTGGGTTGTAAGGTGCAGACCTTACCTTGGGGTTTGCTGGCGTAACTGGAAGCAAAAGTTCTGGGGATGAGCTCCGAGGTGATGTTGATGCAGTTTCAAGACTGCGATGTATTACTTGCGAATCGGAAGTTTGATGCTTTAAAAGTTCAGGAGATAAATTTTTAAAATTTAAAAAGTCTTACCAATAAAAATTTAAATTTCTGTTAAAAACTAGTATTAGATACCCTACTACTTAGAATAAATATAATTAAAGTAGTAAAAGAAAATCTTCAAACTTAAAAAATTTGGCGGTAGCTTAACCTAACTAGAAGAATCTGCCCTATCTTCTTCCAGAAGGGGAAATGGGTGAATTGCCGGACGGAGCTTTACCTAGTTTGGTTTAGAGCATTAGTATTCAAATTTGTTTAGGTGCAGGGGACAGAAGCAGTAGACTTCACATGAAGCAATTCATGACGGAGACATGTAATTTCAGGCGATGGTTCGGTTTGTGATAAAATCTCCGTACTACTAGTATTGGTGAATTCTTGCTTTGAGCGTGTTAATGGTCGCCAATAGTAGCTAAAAGATTCACTATATGGCAGTTGCTGGCTGGTGAGAGGTTCTTTTCGATTTTTGTATCGAGGTGTTTCTTGATCAGCAGATCGAACTTCTTTCCTGCAGGAATTGATTTGATCGATGTGCTTATATGCAGAATCTTACCGTCATCAACTAAGTGATGAAGTTTACCATAGGTTTCAACGATTCTTCCAGGCATCCATTTTCCTAATTTAGAGTTATAAACTCTGAACATGACTGAATCACAAATTTTAAAAGACCGAGGTCTGCAAGAGTAAGGTTTAGGATTTGCAGATATTGATGACAAGATTGGGAGATGATTGCCAGCTTCGGACTTGTGAGACGTTGGAACTACTTTGTCAAGTTTCGTTTTGATGTTTCGGCCAAGAAAGAGAAAGGAGGGCAAATGTCCCGTTGCAGGATGAGCAGCTCTATGAAAGCACTGAAGAAATCGATGAATATTTTCTTGTAGGTTCTTCTATGTGGTGTCCAGGCGCATTATCGTGTTTTTGATGGTCTGAATATAATGCTCGGCATGTCCATTTGTAGCTGAATGGTACGGTTCAGTGAGTTTGTGAAAATGCACTCCTTGGGATGTTAAGAATTCTTTGAATTCAGGGGATGTGAATTGCTTCCCATTATCTGAAAATACACTGTCTGGAACGTCGAAAAGAGAGAATAGATGACCTAGCTTTTCCCAAATGATGGATGATGTCATTGATGTTGTGACGAGCGCTTGAGTCCATTTTGAGAAGGCATCTACTATTACAAGTAGGTATTTGCCGTGAGCTGGGCCAGCGTACCTAGTCTATATGAATCCTCGACCAGGCTTCTTTAGGACGTTCCCAATGATGGCTGTTGTTTTGGGGCGGTGATTTTGCATGGCTAAAGCAAGTGAGGCAGCTTTTTGCTAATTCTTCAATGTCGCGATCAATGTTTGCCAAAATTAGGATGTCATCAAAAAAATTTGTAGTGTTGTCTTGACCTCTGAGTATTTCCTCTAGGTAAACAGCATTGCCAGATGGCCGGAATGCTGGAGATACCATATTGTGCACGAGTAGGCCGTGAGTAGGAGTGTTAAGTGTCATAAGTTCACACGCTGAAGGAGTGCACGGAAGGCTCATGAATGCATCAGTGACGTCTAGTCTGCAAAAAAGAGAGGCACCTTCAACTTTATTGAAGATATCCTTATCTTTTGGAATTGGGTGTTCGTCTGCAATTAACTGAAGATTGAGTGTGGACTTATAGTCACCCGTTATACGTAATTTATTGCCTTTGACAACAACATGAGTGGGGAAGGCCCATTCAGAATGTGTATCATTAACGTAATAACCGAGTTTTAGTTTTTCTTCCTTTCATGGGCATATGCATCAAGAAGTGAATAAGGGAGAGGCCTTGCTTTAGCAAAGACCGTTTTGGCATGCAATTTAAGGTGTAGGTTGGGTGGTTCTCTTTCTACAGTTCCTGCTTTGTCGCTGAAAAGAACATCATAACCTTTGAGAATTGTTTCCAATCTGGCCTTGATGGTATTACTGTTGTCAGAGGTATCAAATTTCACTTGATTCAATTCGTCTGTATCAAAAAGATTAGAAAAGGACAGCTGATGTTTGTAAGCGTTAATCCACTCACTACCGAAGAGGTTATCATTCAGAAAGTTAACGACATACAGGTCAAGCATTTGTGATTGGTTTTTGAATTTGACTCTAACTTTTAAGTAGCCTAGCGTGCCAAATCTGTTTTTTGTAAAACTTGAGAATTTACGTTTAGACGGATAGAGAGTTCCGTTTGGAAAGAATCGATTTTTAGTGTCAGTATCAATAACAGAAACAGAAGCACCTGTGTCGAGTTCCATTGTCAGGGGTTGGTCGTTAACCGAAACTTTGAGATTGATTGGTTTAACATACAGGGTGATCCAAAAGTCCCTTCCACCCCCTCTAACTTTTTACCTAATTGAGGTAAAGATTTGAAACTTGGGGGATATTCCTAGGTCAAAGGGAGCTACTTTTTGGCCCCCCTAAAATTTTCAGGGGGCCCCCCTTGGGGGGCAACGACCCCCAACTTTTAATTTTCAAATGGGAAGATCCCCTTTGTGATAGCTCGTTCGAAAGAGCATAAAAAAAGAAAACTTTTCGCGCAAACCCGAAGTCAATATCTTAAACCGTTTCAAAATGGCGGCCGGTTAAAGTTCAAAATGGCCGAAAATTCACACCGGTTATTTGTCGATGGATTTGTGCGAAAATCAGTATGTAGGGGTATTTTGACACGAGAAAAACGAATTTGACGTTAGATTTTAAAAAAAACCGAAATTTCCAAAATGACCGCCGGTTAAAGTTCAAAGTGACCAAAAATTGATTTTTTTAGAAATCTAAGTTCAAATTTGTTGTCTTTTGCCATAATACTCTCAAATTTCAAGTTTTAGGCAAATCCATCAGCAAAAAACCGAGGTGACAATTTTCGGCCATAAATCCATCAGCAAAAAACCGAGGTGACAATTTTCGGCCATTTAAAACTTTAACCGGCGGCCATTTTGGAAATTTCGTTTTTTTGAAAATCTAACGTCAAATTCGTTTTTCTCGTGTCAAAATACCCCTATGTACCGATTTTCGCGCAAATCCATCGACAAATAACCGGTGTGAATTTTCGGCCATTTTGAACTTTAACTGGCCGCCATTTTGAAACGGTTTGAGATATTGACTTCGGGTTTGCGCGAAAAGTTTTCTTTTTTTATGCTCTTTCGAACGAGCTATCACAAAGGGGGTCTTCCCATTTGAAAATTAAAAGTTGGGGGTCGTTGCCCCCCAAGGGGGGCCCCCCTGAAAATTTTAGGGGGGCCAAAAAGTAGCTCCCTTTGACCTAGGAATGTCCCTCAAGTTTCAAATCTTTACCTCAATTAGGTAAAAAGTTAGAGGGGGTGGAAGGGACTTTTGGATCACCCTGTACACATTTTCTTCAAGTAGGAAGGTGTTCGAGGGGGCTGAGACTTTTCCTCGTAACAGGTTGAGATGCTCATCAAAAAGGTTGGAATTTAATACTGGTTTTTCCTCTCTAACTAAGTCAATATTATCCATGAAAGAATTTACCTGTAAAAATTCAGTACAGTCCGGTTCTTTTAAACTTTGGTCTTGAGGGTTTTCATCGGTGAGAGAGATGATACGAAATTGAGATTGGTGAGGGTTGTTGGCAGCAAACTTGGCTTTTCGGCAAACTGAGGAAATATGGCTTTTGATATTGCAGCAATTACAGATGGAGTCTCGGAACGTGCAAGAGAATCTTGCATGCGATCCGCCGCAGGATTGGCAAGATGCATTTAGAGACTGAGTGCTAGATTTAAGTACGATGAGAAGGATGGGGGCTCCGATAACACTTGAAAGGTCTTGAGTTCAGAGAGGTGGAACGACTACGGCTTGAATTTCTATTTGAGCGAGAAGAATGTATGAAGTACGGTTGTGTCAGAGTTTTTGGTCTGCTTTCATGGTAAAATTTGTGAATTTTGGAATCAGCGACTTTAAGGATGGTGGACGCTTTACGGGTGGCCTACATGTCAAGTGCAGTGGACAGAGCTTCATTAAAATTCTCTGGCTTAATACTGACAATTTCATCTCTAATATCATCACGGATAATGCCATGAATGAATTGAACAGTCAAAGAGTAGGCAAGAAAGGTTCCAAACCCACAGTAGCGGGAAGCAGACTTCAGACGAGTAACATATTCTAAAATTGATTCGTCAGATTTTTGCACAACATCCCTGAACTTGATGGCTACACTGTACTTGTTTTTAGAAGCAATAAGGTGACTGGTCAACTCTTTGGTTATGTCATCAAAAGAAAGAGAACTTACGTTCGTGGGATAACAGATATTATTCAGGGTTGAGACCAGATCCGAGCCCATGTGAATGCGAAGGTAGCTTGCAAAGTTTTCATCGGGGATGTTGCTAAGTTGCAGCTTCAGTTTGAGTCGCTGGAAGTACTCTTCGAGGGATTTGCTGGAAGTTCCCGAATACGGAGGAAAACTGAATTGTTGAACAGGAGGACGAGAGATGATAGTGGAGGGTTGAGAAGCTTGAGTGGCATGTAGATCTGCGAGTTTCCCAACTAGAGATGTTAGAGTGTTGATTTTTGTGTTGAGTTCTTCTAAGGTGGTCATTTTGATGGATAGGGGATGATTGAGGTTTTTACTGAAGGCGAGAAACGAAAAAACCAGGGTGATTGTCATCAATCATGGTGTACCGGCGCGCACTTGGTAGCCTATATCACTCGCGGCACGAGTTTTCAAGTTTAACAGTTCAGCTTTTCCGCGACGCGGGTTGACTTACCGGTTTTTTTCGGATTTAAATACTCGTCGCCATTTGATGTAACTAAACCATAAATGAAAGAACGAAAGGAAATGATAATAAAATGAAAACGAAAGGGTAAGGAAGACGAACGTGTATTCGTGAAGGTTATATGATACGCGAGTCAGGGTTTACCGCCTAGCAAGGGCTATAGTCCCTATGCTGTTGACATGGCTACCAACTTAGGATACAACAATCCATAATGACCCAAACCGGGTTAGCTCTTCTGGTAAGACCTCAGCTTAGTACCTTTTCCAAATGCATCAAACTAAGCAGAACATACTCCCCCCCCTCCTTCAATCTTTCACTGTAATTCATTATATCTTATTCCCTGACTAATTATAATTTTTGGATTTTTTTACTTTGACTTCCTTGCTGAATGTTGAAGACCTCGCAATATTCGTCGATCCTGTTATTTACCAAATAGGTACTCAAGTTCTATTTGTAATTTGTCCTTTCCTGTCCCTACATCAATTTTTCCTTCAAGAGTTCAAATTCAGTGTCATGTCAATTCTAATCACCTCAAGGAACTCATAAGAAGTAGGTTTATTAACATCATTTTTTGGAGCAATTGAGGAGGGTTCTGTAAGATAAGCCCATAATAGTCCTGATGTGCTCCCTTTTTCGAGCAATTTATATCGGAACATATCGACGGTGTAAGTTGGCAATCACATAACTCGGTTTGCGACGTCACAGACTTCCTGTCATACTTTATTTTTTAAATGGAAAACTACTCAACGGCAATTCTATAAAACTGTCATGATTTATCTTCTCAATGCGAAGAAAAATCTGCAAAACTTCAAGAAATAATGTCAATTTGTTCTCCTTTAAAAAAATGACGTAGAGGCGGAGATTTTCAGACACCGCAAACGAGTTATGTGATTGCCGACTTTCACCGTCGATGTGGCAGTCTGGCTGAGACCATTGCTGTCTGCTTGTCCATGTGAAACTGATCGGAGAAACGAACTTGCCCATGTTTTATGGACCCCTCACCTGGAACCCTCCTCACCTACGATTTCCCTTTTACAAAGTACCTAATAAGCGTTCTATTCTCTTTTCAGGCTCAATTAAATTCTCATCTGTTCTGACATAAGCTATGTATGGATTTGAAACGTATGCTGAGAAAACGTAGCAGCAAACTATCATCAATAATGGATATGATGTTCGAGGCGTATTTGACACACGAATCAGGTCATTTGGAGCCAGATGATATTCCGAAAAACGCACAGGGACCAGTTTGGATCCTTGGAGTGGAGTACTGCCATCGAGGTGAACATAAAAGCATTTTTATGTGTATCACAGTTCTGTATTATTCCTTTCCCCTCCCTAGCAAAATAATGGTTTTACTCAGAATCAGATCACTGATTACTACCAGAAATAGTAAGATAATAATAACTAAGTCCGGCTAACTAAACCATATTGCATTCATTAGACTCTCTTCGTTGCATTTTCAAACAAGGTTAATTTTTGTATCTTGAAATGTCGTTTTAATAATAATATTGATAGTGTAACTCCTAAAGCACTTATCTTGATTTGCGACATTGCAGACTGGCTGTCATACCTACTTTATTTCTTTAATGGAGAACTACTCAATGTCAATTCTTAAAAACAACTGTGGTTTTTCTTCCGTGTGCAAAGGAAATTTTGAGAAAGTTTCAAGGAATGGTGTTAATTCGTTCTCCTTTTTTTAAAAAAAAGGCAAGATTCGAGCTGAGATTTTTAAACACTGCAAACGAGTTTTCAAACATTTTTGATGGAGTAGTACTGTTGCTAAAATGATTAGAAAAAGAGGAATCTCGTTACTATAAATTTTTATTGCAAATTATTTACTTTTATGCTTTGAATAGTTACATGCTGAAGGCCTTTTCGGTCTCTCAGGACCATCTTCAGAGCAATAGGATGATTAGAAAAGAAAAGATTGATGAAATAATGATTGACTTTTGCTGCTCCTTGTTTCTCTGGTCGTGTTGTTTTAATTGCACCTTTGTATTGTATTGTGTACTGTAAAAAATGTGTTAAATTTCACCGCCATATTGTGTACTGTATACTGTTTAATTTTAAATTTTACTGCCAAAGTATGTAGCATGCTCAGCTGTGTCCCCTAATAGTAATGATTGTCAGCTATCTGATTGGACTGCAACGCCGAGAAAGTGCTACGGGCTGTGGTTGACTGTTTCCTGTTATCACAAGTATGTCACCAGGCTGTGCACTGACCACTGTGATTTGTATGCTAAATCGTTTCATCTGCCAGATATATAGTTGAAATTTCTTTTTCTTTTTTTTTTGCTTGTTCATCTGTTTGATACCAGTATGTAGTTTTTCTTTTCTTTTCTATTTGTCCTATTGTTCTGAAGGTGGCCCTGAGAGACCGAAAAGGCCTTCAGCATGTAACCATTCAAAGCGTGTAAGTAAATAACTTGCAATAAAAAATTATAGTACCAAGATTCTTCTTTTTCTAATCATTTTTTTTTTTTTTTTACTTCAAACAAGATACGTGGTTTGAATGTTTCACCGTTGATATACATTCTTCCATGTATTGTGCGCAATGGTAAGGAGGCCAAAGAATTTTGAATCTTTTCCTGAAACCTCATCCATTGATCTAGCATGTTATCAGAATTGTACCCTTCAAGACCAACTTTTTCAGGAACAACATACTAGGTCTTTGAGAGCTAGCAGGACTTAGGTGCAGATTGTTTCAGAGAGCAACATGAGATTGGCAAAGCCATGAAATTTTGGGAGGAATACAGTCGTGCAGCAAGAAAAATCATGTTTGTAGGAGCGCTTCTGTTTCAATTACCTAGCATTGAGTCGGGCCTCTAGCCTTGCGGTTTTGTTTCTGTGACACAGGGTGTGCCAAAAATATGGATCCTTCTTATTGATGTCTCGAGAACGATTACAGATTATTGACTTGCGGTTTTGAACGAAACTTCCTTCAAAAAAGGTGGGCCGCTCTCAAGAGGGGGGGGGGGGCGTCCGGGAGGTCGTTACCTCTCTTCTTCGCGCCCGAGAACAACTTTTAAATTAAAAATGGGAACTCTCTTTGCCTGATACTGCGTAGAAGTCATACCAAAAATACATGATATCCTTCCAAAAAAACAAAAATATGATTTTTGTACAAAATTTCGGCCCAATCCAAAAAATGTCACTAATTACCAAAAATAAAAATAAAAATCAGGCACCCAAAAAATATGATGGCAGTACAATTTGGATTCATCATTTAAAAGGAAATGATGTCAAAATGGCCCAGTTTCCTCTTTCATGATATAGGTACTATACACCCCAACGTTTTTCAACAAAAAAAAAAAAAAAAAAAAAAAAATTAAACACCTATAAGGTATGATGACCTGAACACGTTTTGATCCATCGCTTTAAAGGAGCATGATATCAAATCGGCCCAACATCTCTGAAATATGCCCAGCCCATTTCTGATCAATACCTAATTTTTTCGAGACCTTCCGACTCATCGCTGAGGAGACACTGATCATTACTTGACCCTTAGTGTATGTCCTTGTTTAGATGTCAAAGAGGTCCATATGAGAACTGTAATGAATTTTTTTTCTTTAAAGAAATAAAAAACAAAAAATCGTCATAAAATTGAAAAAAAATTCGAAGAAAAAAAAAGGAATGGGCCGGCCGGCACGTACAAAAAAAGGGGGAAAAATAGATACATTGGTATGCCCCGACAATTTCGCATGGGTGACCGACCCGGTCTTGCCAACATCCATGAAGTTGTTAAGAAAGAAGCATTGTAAGTAGGAGGCACATAATATTCGCAATAATACGCTAAGGTTCAGTAGTTTGTAAGGCCTTTTATCACGAACAAACAAAGAATATGGCATTGCTTGAAAGTTGTTAAGTTGTTCACTCATATTTGAATATCTTTCAGTCTATCTTTCAATGACGATTTCGAGAAGGACTGATCCTCCTTTTGACGACGATACTTGTTCATGCATATATGCAAGAGAGACGATAATCACCCTATTATCTACCACTTGTATGTACGGCCGGCCGGCCCATTCCTTTTTTTTCTTCGAATTTTTTTTCAATTTTATGACGATTTTTTGTTTTTTATTTCTTTAAAGAAAAAAAATTCATTACAGTTCTCATATGGACCTCTTTGACATCTAAACAAGGACATACACTAAGGGTCAAGTAATGATCAGTGTCTCCTCAGCGATGAGTCGGAAGGTCTCGAAAAAATTAGGTATTGATCAGAGATGGGCTGGGCATATTTCAGAGATGTTGGGCCGATTTGATATCATGCTCCTTTAAAGCGATGGATCAAAACGTGTTCAGGTCATCATACCTTATAGGTGTTTAATTTTTTTTTTTTTTTTTTTTTTTTTTTTTTTTGTTGAAAAACGTTGGGGTGTATAGTACCTATATCATGAAAGAGGAAACTGGGCCATTTTGACATCATTTCCTTTTAAATGATGAATCCAAATTGTACTGCCATCATATTTTTTGGGTGCCTGATTTTTATTTTTATTTTTGGTAATTAGTGACATTTTTTGGATTGGGCCGAAATTTTGTACAAAAATCATTTTTTTGGTTTATTTATATTATACGTGATGTCCAAGTTTCCTTTTAAAGCCAGCCGTTAATAAAAAATTTTCCCATCAATGATGAACACTACCGGTCTTACAGAATCCATTCTGAAATCAGCCATGCATCATGCATGGGCCCAAGCAAGCATATCTATAGATTGCTAAGTTAAAATCTGCACAAGTCATTTCTATAACTCTCTATGTTCCAATTGATTCTGTTTCATCACTCAAATTTTTATGTCCCTTTTTGTTTCCAGACTTAGAAAAAATCAGGCGGGATGTTAAATCAAGGCTCTGGTTCTCTTATCGAAGAGGTTTTGTGTCTATTGGAAATTCTGGGTTGACATCTGACAAGGGATGGGGCTGTATGCTCAGATGTGGGCAGATGGTCATAGCACAAGCATTACTATTCTTGCATTTAGGTATGTTTTGTATTCTCAGTACCTCTCTGCTTCTGAAAACCTCCATTTCGCCTGAAATCATGTAAAAATCATTGAGCAACACATTCTAATTGATAGGTATTTTGAATTGCCCCTCTTTGCCGACATTAGTTACCAACTTCATTAAATCTTCTGCCATATAGCCGCATTCAGTGTCTCAAACTCAGTTTATGAGCCATGTGGCCTTTGCAAGCTCGATTATTAGGGGCTAAAGTGACTTCTTGACTACAGGTGACAGCGCATTTAGTGAAAAATTAGACGCAAGATGTTTTAGTGACAGAATTAGTAGCTGTAACTTGGGGAAGACATAAGCGCTAAAAATGAAATTGAGAATAATAGAAAAAGCTTTTACTTTTAATACTGAAAGTTCGAAGTTTTTTCAATTCAAGCAGATTTTTTTTCTTCTCATTTATGTGACTTCCTATTAAAAATATTAAGGTAAAGGCGAAAGTAAAGTGACAGACACCCCAGGGAAGATTTAAAACTCCTGCACTTTATTCATCTATTGTATTTATAAGTGAATCGGGATTTGGGATCTTAAGGAGGAAATGTTTAATCCAAATGTCTCTTAATTTTATATTTCTAAAGCTAAGATATAGTTATAAAAGATGTTGGTCACTGATCACTTTACCTCAGAACTAAAAGTACCTCAACGCCTTAGGAACAAAAGTGGACCAGAAAAAGTTTTTTGATTCCACGAAAATGAATATTTAGTTTATTGAAGACGAGCCGCAGAGAGATGAAAATCATTAAATATACAAATTGATTGCAGAGCGAATTTAGCTGCATAATGTGTCTTCAGTTGGCTCTGTCCCTTGCATGTAACAGATCCATTGTGTTTCTGTAATACACCATAATGAATTATTCTAGGAAGAGAATGGTGCTGGAGTCCAAACAAACGAGACAGAGATTACCTGCGGATATTACAGATGTTTGAGGATGTGCACAGTGCTCCATATTCAATTCATCAGATAGCTATATCAGGTCTTGACGAAGGGAAGCAAGTAGGAGAATGGTTTGGGCCGAACACGATAGCTCAAGTTTTGAAGTAAGTTCTCCCAAGACTTTTTTTAGGCTTCATCTGTAATCTCTCGTAAGAAGATGGCGTAAAATGCTCAGATGTGCCCATTTTCTGATTGATCATTATATTGTAGGTTTTTTTCGGTAGGATTGAAACAGTTCTCAACCAAAACACTTGTGATAAGTACTCGTATTTAGTGTGAAATTACTTTTTGCAACCTTATCTCTTCTCATTTTGAAGGAGAAATTCAACATGCTCAAACTATCTCATCGGCCAAGCTGTAGTATGGTTGAAGAAAATGCATATTGAAACTAGAAAAGTGCGTATCTAGTTTGCGATGGTGATAAATTTCTGCCTTTGTTCGGTTTCAATGCAAGAAAGTCATCTGGTTTTAATTTGTAAAATTTTGCACGGTTTTTCTTCTGTCAAAAATATTCTCTGTGAATTGTATAAAAAAAAGGAGGGGTATTGATGAAGGCTTTTTTTGTTCCCCCCTAGAATCTGGAAATTCATGCGGGTTTTCCAAGTTGACTCAATGTAGTTTATGGAAATAATCATGATTTGGTCCATAGTCCACTGGATACGTGTTAAACGGTTGCCTGAACATATGTCTGTAGGCTCATTTTAGCAAAAATGCGTGTTTATCTCGTACTCTGAGGCTTTTTTGACACCGAGTGCATCGTCTAACTAATACGAGCTTTTGATATGTTATCAAAAAGGTTTTAGGACACATCCTAACCCTGCAAGGTCGGCAGTCAGCTGATGATGGTGGCCCGGGTAGCCACCGAAACGCGTTTGGAAAGTAACCAATCAGTGAAAACGTGAGTTTTTTACAAAAAGATTTTAAAAGTCTTATTACAGCTTCTACTGTTTTTAAAAATCTCGATTATTTTATTAAAAATTTTAACCCTGGTTTGGTTTTAGTTAAATGATGCGCTCATAGTTAAAAAAAACTTTATCAAAAGTCAACTGTTAAGGGACATCCGCAAAAATCTTTGGGAAACACGTCCCTCCAACTGCATGCACGCTACGTATATTATCGAGGGCAGTTATCAAGCCTTGTTGAGCACTTACAAGGAGATTTTCTTTAATCGTAGCCAAAACAAACACTACTGGCGTAATTCCCTAAGATTTTTGCGGATGTCCCTTTAAAGTCGACTTCTGAAAAAGTTTTTTTTTTTTAACTTTGAGCGTATCATCTAACTAAAACAAAACCAGGGTCAAAATGTGTCCTAAAGCCTCCTTGATAAAATATCAAAAGCTCGTTTTAGTTAGATTATGCCCTCGGCATCAAAGAAACCTTGGAGTTTTAGAAAGACACACATTTTTGCTAAAATGCGCCTGCAGACGTATGTACATGCAACCGTTTAACACGTATCCAGTGGCCTATGGACCAAATCTATCTACATATATGTTAATCAGGGTGGCCAGAGACTGCATATGATATGCTTCGATAGCTCTTAAAGGCACGTATGACGTCAAGTGTCGAGAGGCCGGATCGATTCATCGCGGACACTGGCTTCAAATCTAAATGGGATTCCCCTTTCTTTTGTTCTGCGATCAGAACTCGGGTAGACGGATGCGATGGGCCGGCAATGCGGTTGAAATCTTGACATTTGAGGGATCGATCCGGGCGTGATCATTAGATCCTGAGTTAAATACCATTGTCCGGCAATGATATACAAATCCATGCGGTCGGTAGGATTCTCTGATGTTCGCTAGTGAAATCCAGTCTTTGGAGTTAACTAGCCGGCCCCGGCAAGTTTGCTCAACATATCCGATATTTGAATTTGCCGCGTAAATCAGACTACCGCTACCTTGCTGCGCAGCGCTTCCATTCCTACTGGGTTATCTATTCTAACTATTATTACAATCCTACTATTTTTCTCCTTCTTCGTCTTATTCTTCTTCTTCTTCCTCCTCCTTCTCCTCTCCTTCTCAAATGGTCTTCGCATCGAGAAACTCGTAAATTTTAAACAGACAATTACAAGAAAAATTGTTTAAAAGTAGTTCTAATAAAGCCCTTTTTAGTGTGCAATTTTGAACCATTATATCAATAATTAAAATTACATCAGTAAAGAAATTGAAACATTTGACTTTACTGTAACTTTTTACTTAATCTGGTTTTAACCAGAATTGAAAGAATTGAAAGAAAAAAATCATAATAATGCTTCAAACACGGGAGGCTTCTTTTTCAGAGATCTATTATGTAAAAGTCCTGAAGCATTTTTCCTTTGAAAATATATTAAAAGTGCTATTCTAATTAATACTTCTTGACGAATTTTTTAAGAGTTTGTGAAAAGTGCTTCACGTATTCGCTTTTATTAGGTCAAATCATCTTCATAGTGTTGTTTATACTTTTGATGGTAGAAGTGTATAACCCTCCTCTCTACCCTGATCGCATTTCGGAATTATTGGTTTTAATTTATTGGGAAGAAAAGTCTCATCGATATTTCCTGCGAAAAATTTGACAGAACCTAGGCCCTAGGGAAAAAAAAAATTCTTGTTTTAGAAAAGATACCGGTAGGTTTGCGTTTCTTCTTTCTCCCGACTTGTAGATTCACATATACAGGGTGTCCCAAAAGTCCCTTCCACCCCCTCTAAAATTTTACCTATAATTAATATTTTGAAACGAAACTTTGGGGATGTTCATCGATCAATGTTAGCTACTTGTGGGGCCCCCCAAAATTGTCAGGCCCCCTTCGTGGGGAGGGGCTGCGGACCCCAACTTTTATTTTTCAAATGGCAACCCCTATCTTATGATATCTCATTCGAAAGAGCATAAAAAACTAAGAATTTTGGCGCAAATCGCAGATCAATATCTTAATTTTTGACCGAGTTATGATAGGTCAAAGGTCAAATTTGACCTATTTTCAAAAAATCATAACTCCGGTTCAAATTATCGTAATGAAAAAAATAAAACGGGAAAATTTACCAAATTGTAAGCACATTTAAGTAAAAATCACAGACATTACTTCAAACTAATTTTAAGGGGGGTTTAGGACCCCCAAATACGTCAATTCAAAGGTCATTCAATTTTCCCGCGAAATAAGCCAGTTTCCCCCAGATTTGCCTCCACATTAGTTCAGTAAGGTCAAAATCAGTTCAACATTACGTTGGCAACTCCCCAAATTTCGGGAAAAGTTAAAAAAGAACGAAATTAAAGGTGATTAAATTTGACAGTTTAAATTTTTTTTTTAACTTTTCCCGAAATTTGGGGAGTTGTCAACGTAATGTTGAACTGATTTTGACCTTACTGAACTAATGTGGAGGCAAATCTGGGGGAAACTGGCTTATTTCGCGGGAAAATTGAATGACCTTTGAATTGACGTATTTGGGGGTCCTAAACCCCCCTTAAAATTAGTTTGAAGTAATGTCTGTGATTTTTACTTAAATGTGCTTACAATTTGGTAAATTTTCCCGTTTTATTTTTTTCATTACGATAATTTGAACCGGAGTTATGATTTTTTGAAAATAGGTCAAATTTGACCTTTGACCTATCATAACTCGGTCAAAAATTAAGATATTGATCTGCGATTTGCGCCAAAATTCTTAGTTTTTTATGCTCTTTCGAATGAGATATCATAAGATAGGGGTTGCCATTTGAAAAATAAAAGTTGGGGTCCGTAGCCCCTCCCCACGGGGGGGCCCGAAAATTTTGGGGGGCCCCACAAGTAGCTAACATTGATCGATGAACATCCCCAAAGTTTCGTTTCAAAATATTAATTAGGTAAAATTTTAGAGGGGGTGGAGGGGACTTTTGGGACACCCTGTATGTGAAACAAAACTTTCATTGCGAACACAGAAATTGAAAGTTTTCTTTTACCATGAAGTGCGCGGAGGAATAAAACTTTACACCTCCATCACTTAATCACCTTTCGTGTTTTTGGTTTCCTTCTTGCCAATTCTCAATACGCTCCTTGTCACTGTTACCTCGCGTCATTTTCGGGTTATTTCCCCGGCCTAATTATACCCACAATAATAGTACTACTCCCTTTAATATATTAAGTACCATCCCCGAGATTTCAGCCACTTCCGAAAATTATGATTCATTGGAGCCTTTGAGTTAATAGATCACGATATTGCTTTTCAGTACCCACAGATGCGGTGATTAATGTGTGTCAACGTGATGGGCCGTTGATAGCAAAGAGGGCAGTAAGTGCCAAAATGAAGTTTTGGTAAAACGGGCTCAGAGGCATGTGACCGGAAAATTTTAATACAGAAGCCTCCGTTCTTTCTCAAATTATCACGAATCGTCTTCGAAAAGATCGTCCGAAAGATTCCTAGAGATCGTTTGGATGATTAAAAATCGACTGATTTAATTTCCATTACATTAAAAAGGATATTTTTCATTTTCATGCTAGGTTATTGTTAGGCAAGACAGCCGTAAGTGCTATCTTCTGCATGCTTTCGTGGTTGCGTTTTGGACGCACAACAAACACATTTTCAGGTTAGAAATTGGCAGAAGAGGGCGGCACTTTACTGGAAAGCACTGTTCTCATTGGCTCTCATGCATCTACGGCTGTCTTGAAAAAAAACTGTGTCATTTTTTGTGCACTTACGGCTTTTACATACGTCTCGTTTTCATTAAATTAGGATGAATTTTGCTGTTTTAGCTGTCTCAGTAATTTCATCTAAAAGAGTTTAGACGAATTTTGAAGAAAACTCGATTTCGAAAATTTTGCACTTACGGCTCTCTACGCTACCTTGCCTGAAACTACGTCATTTTTTGCGCACTTGCGGCTTTCTCATATGTCTCGTTTCCATGAAAATAAGATGAATTTTGCTATTTTAGCTATTTCTGTGATTTCATCTAAATTGGATTAGACGAATTTTGAAGGAGCCTTGATTTCGAAAATTTGACCCTTACTGCTCTCTACGCTATGACAGCAGTGAAGAGAGCGTTAGACAATTTTGTTTTTACATCTTAAAGGATTGGGGCCCACGTCACTAAAGCTAGATAAGCGGAGAGGGGGAGGTTCGGAAACTCCGAGTTCAGCGTTACGTATTTTCTGAACTATCCCTAA